TGTACCTAAACCTCAGGGAAAGGATAAGAGACTGTGAGGTGTCCAGAGCTAGGGCCACGTCTTACCTAGTGTGTCAGGCTATCTGTAGCATCCCCCACACAAAAAATGTTTGCTGAAATACAGAAATGCACAGAACTAAAGAGAAAAAAAAGAGACCATAAATCCAGTGTTGGAACAGAATCAGACTAGGACTTAGGAGACCCCAAAACAAAATGACACATGCTCTTCTTACACAATAATACAACATTTTGTTTTCAACATAGCATAAAAGCCATCAACCCTCTCCAGCTGGCTTACAAACTCTGATATCCCCAACTCTGTTAATGGGTAGAGGAATGTCTTGGCAGGTCCTCTGAGTGAGAGTTCTAGAGAGGGGGAACACTTAGTCTGTAAAGGATAGGAAGGTTTAGACAGATTCTATCTTCCACAAACCCACACTACAGGTGAAGTGGGAGTTGGGCAAACAGTGAAACCTTTCACCACAAAGACTCTCTGCTTACAGTTTCAGTCGAGTCAGTTTTCCTGGGGTAGGGAGGGTCTCCCCTTAATTTTGGCATTCCCGAAAGCATATGTGTCTCAGTGAAATGTCTACCAGGAGTTTGGCCTCTATCAATTGGTGCTGTTTCATATAAAGAAAATATAGACAGGAGATTTATTCAAATGACAGGTTCTGTAGACTTAGTTACCAGAAATAAATATCAGGGTATTATGTCTAACCTCACTCTATCTCATTTGCATATAACATATGGATTTTCTACCAGCATAGAGATGTTAAAATTTTAGGATCCATCCACTCTCTGTTACATCCTCAGGTATATCTTGTATTCTTTATGCAGGACTCATTTTAAATTTGGAAGTCTCTTCATGCAGGTTATTAGCTGGCATTCTACAAAACTTTCTCCACACAAAAGAATTTTTTTTTTTTTTTGGTTTTTTTTGAGACAGGGTCTCCCTGTAGCCCCAGCTGTCCTGGAACTCGCTATGTAGACCAGGCTGGCCTTGAACTCACAGAGATCCGCCTGCCTCTGCCTCCTGAGTGGCATGTGCCACCTGCCCGGCAAAAGATTTTAATTAAAAAAAAATTTTATTATTTTTATTTTTTATGCGTATGAGTGTATTGCCTGCATTATGTGAGTGCACCCATGTCATGCAATGCTGCGGAGAGAAAAAGGCTTCAGATTCCCCTGGAACTGGAGTTAAGGATGGTTCATAGCCACCATGTGGGTGCTGGGAATCGAACCCAGGTCTTCTCCAAGAGCAGTCAGTACTCTTAACCGCTGAACCATCTCTCCAGCTCCCACAAAAGATTTTAAAGCCACGACTAATAGCTGCATCTCTTAAAAGCCCTCTACCCTGGAGTAGGGCTTTCTTCCCGTCAATTCCAAATCACCATGACTGGTAGGCAAACTAAGGCACAAAATGTTCACGTGTCGCATACAGCACCACTGAGTGTAAGGCAATCAGGAAGCACTGGTGGCCCAATGCCAAGGTTCTTTGTCTAAACTAATCTTCAAGAGACAAACCAGAAATGTGGAGATTTGGTTTTGAAAAGAAGCAGACCCATGTTTAATACAGCTCTACTACTGATTAGTGAAATAACTTTAGCAGGTACTTATCCTCTCTGTGCCTCATTGTGTCTTGTACGAAAAGAAAACAAAGACCTACCTTGCAGAGCCATTGTGAATATGAAAATATACATTACAGTCTCATGCCATATAGGAAAAGCTAAAAGAATGATACTTATTATTACAGTTTAATAATCAGGCAAGTTAAGGAAAATTAAGGTCACTAAGTAACATACCATGTAAAAAATCTGAGATCAATCTCTTTCAAATTATCTCCTGTAACCTTTGGAGAGTCACACAAAGGAGGGTGAGATCTGAAGTCGAGTCTTCAAGGGTGTTTGGGTTATGTCCTTAAATACCCATTCACTCTATCCTGCCCAGACATGGTGACATGGATGGGAAAAGAGCCACGATCTACTTGGAACTTCCATTTCAGTCTTCCAAACTAAGCACCTTAAACAGCCCCCTCCCCCGATTCATACGGTCTCCAGCTGTGAAAATTACTAGGGCCCTAGACCATGGTTAACATAGCATTGCATATATTATATATATAGAAATGGTTTTCCCAAAGAGCTCCACATTATTTTACATAGTTAACAGTGTCATTTAGCAGATCAGGAAACTGGTATGGATAAGGAGATCATCTTATGAGTTAAAAATAAAATATGAACACTCATCAATTCATGGCTCTCTATCCTCTGAGGGTCCCATTCTGCATATTTGATAAAAAGTATTCAAGGGTATCTTGTTTTAATTTTTTTTCTCCCCATTTAAGAAAACACCAAATGGAGGCTGGGGTACAGTGGTACAGTGGCCATCTAGCATGTCTAAGGCTCTGGGTTTGATCCCAAGCACTGCAAGAAAGAACAAAAAATGAGGCAGAAAACACCAAATGGCAGGAGATGCCTATGCTGTAGGGGTACTGGAGGCCCAGGATCTTTCAATGAGAAACACAGTCTCTTAGTAAGTTCTTTATCAGGACAGCCTACGTGGTCAAGGACATAGATTTTATAGAAATTATCTCTTTTCCGGGGGCTGGAGAGAGGGCTCAGCAGTTAAGAACCCTGGCTATTCTTGCAGAAGACCTGGGTTCGAATCCCAGCACCCACAGGGCAGCTAACAACTGTCCATAATTCCAGTTCCAGGGGATCTGACAGCCTCTTCTGTCTTCTACAGGCATTGCACAACATGGGTGCACTTACTTACACACAGGCAATACACACACATAAAATGAAAATAATAAATAAAATATTTTTTTAAATACTTAAAAAAAAGAAATTATCTCTTTTCCTACCTCCTTGTGTGGTTCAATAATGATATCCTGTTACCTCGAAAAGATGAAGACCAAAGCAGCTCAGTCAGAAATTTGACTGGTTTTTCAGCTGAACCTGGTCTAAGGTATTTATGGCCATCAAAGACTACATAAGGCCAAGGTGACTTGCTTATCGGCTACTCCAAGGAAGTGGCAAGCAACCACATCAACAGTTTCTTAAGGAAACTATCATCTCGCTAAAGAAAGGTCACAAGAACTAGGTTTTGGACGCGATGATTCTGTACCTCCCCTAAAGGTATCAACACTCACTACCTCATATTGAAGAAGCTGCTGCTTGCTGAGAGGTACTGACAAGCAAGAGCTATACTGACAGCCTGGATAACTTTGCCAAAGCCACTTCTGTTATCATATCAACGCCCCCCCGCCTCCCCCCAGCTATCATTCCTTGATTTCTGGAGACTGTCCTTCACATCTCCTTTTCAGGAACTCAATGACCATCTTATAGAGACCACAATGGATTCCACTACAGAGAATCAGATTCCTACTGTGGCTACCACAAAGTACCCTTTAATAAATATAAGCAAAATAAATTTAAGGAAGGAGTTATCCATGACAAAATATATCCCAATCCTAGGCAGCACCAGTATCTTAGACAAACCATCCCCTTGTTCTCTAAACAAAAACAAAAATAAAAACTAAGGCTTTGTCTTTTTGTTAGACAGTGGATATTTAATACTCTTGATTCACAAATACTAGCCTACTCCACAAGTCTGAGGATGATATACTGCTGAGTCGCTTTCAATACTACTGCCCTTGCATTGATACTGAATGACCCCACTGACCACCACAGAGAATCCCAATCATCTTAGAAAAGGCCATAAAACCCACTCGGAATAAATGCAAAGAAATACCCATCTTTATAAAAGGAGACCTTATAGTCTCAGAATGATTAATCAAATTCAGTACTGGGAGTCTAGACTAGGTTCTCAAGGGGGCAAAGATGGTCTCAGAAGACTTTTAAAACCACTTTTGAGGGCACAATAAAAGGAACAGGTTTTGGGGAATGGTGGAAAATAAATATGCGGTTTTATGAAAATTGGAAAGCTATCTGTTGAAGTTTGCTATCTTTGGAAGGTAGGTGACTTTCCCTTGTCTATTTCTTTTTATTGTTATTATTTGGAGTTTTGTAGTTTGGTACTGAAGGGTTTTTTTGTGGCATATGGGGGTTGTTGTTGTTTGAGACAAGATCAATAGCTTAGGCTATTTTCAATCTCCTGGGCTCAAGTGATTCTCCTAGCTCAGCCACCCAAATAGATGGGACTACAGGCATGCACCACCACAAATCAGCTTCTTCGAACTTTAAAAAATATTTTAGGGGCTGGAGAGATGGCACGGCAGTTAAGAGCACTGGCTGCTCTTGCAGAGGACCCGAGGTCAGCTCCCAGCATCCACATGGTGGCTACCAACCATCTGCAGCTCCAGTTCCAGGGGATGTGACACAGGTGAACTTACATACATGCAGGCAAAATACTCATACACATAAAATAAAAAATAAAAACAAAAAAATAAAAATAATATTCTTAAAAATAAAAAATTTAAGATTTATACTATTTTTCACTTATGTGTATGTTTAAGTATACCACATGTGTGCAGGTACCCAAGGAGTTGGGGGGGGTATCATATCCCCCTGAAATTAGCGTTAGAAGGGGTTGTGAGTTTCCTGATGTAGGTGCTGGGAACCAAACCCAGGTCCTCTGAAAGAGCAGCAAGCACTCTTAACTGCTGAGTCCTCTCTCTAGCTCATCTTTTAACTTACTTAAAAATTTTCTATATTGAAATTTTGATAAAGCAAACAACAAATTCGTGTTTAAAGTTTTACGACAGCCTCTGTTCATGTCAAGCTAGTATCTTCTTCAGGATTTGAGCTCAAATACTTGTCCCATTAGATGGTAGTCCATGATGAACAGGGTGGGCCTGCCTGGCCCTGGGGACAGATACTTAGGACAGGCTGGGATCCCAAGTACAGCCTGCTTCCTGCTTCCAAGGAAATTACCAAGGAAATATAGAAATGTCTCTAAACAATTTCCTCTCCCATCTTCAATTTAAACTCTCCCCCTACAACCCCCATACCCCACAGGTTCAAATAGTCATTTAGTCCTTAGTTCTTTTAGGCATTTATTTACTGTACAAAATATTTACATCACCAGCTGCAAATGACTAGACCTGGCCTGACAAATGTGCAGCAGAGCTTGGTCTCTGCCAAATTTCTAGAACCATGCCAACACTCTCCTCGGTGTTCATTTAATGACTGGTCTCCTTCAAGGACACTGAAAAGCCAAAAGCCAGGAGGTTAGCAGCTGGCCTCCCAAGGTCATAAGGGCATAAACAAAAGAACTGGCCAAAATAAGGAACATGAATAGAAAACTTCCCAAGAAATAACACACCCTTCCATCTCTCCAACATACAGTATCTCTTTCCCCACACTGGCTGGTACCAAAGCAGTATTAGAAATAAAAGGTAAAAGAAAATGCAAAAAAGAGTAAAAATGCTTTTAAATAGTTAGAAGAGAGAGTAAACTGGAAGAATAGAAAACTACACAGTACCAAAGGGATTTTTTTTTAAAAGACTCTGGTGCCTAAAGATCACCCTGGGGCTGCGGCTACCCCAGCTGGGCTGCAACAGTGCCTAGGAGACTGAAAAAGTGCCAGGACTAGAGCGTAAAACAAGTCTAGCCAAAAAAAAAGAAAAAAGAAAAAGAAAAATCAACTCAACCCCCGGCAGAGTCTCCAGAGAGCTGCTGGAGGGGAGAATGCAGAATCCAGAACAGGAGCAACTGCCCCAGACAGCTAAACCAGCCCATGCACCCTAGTGGGAAGCCCCAATGTGGGCCTGAGGGGCAACAGGGTGATGATTTATCCTGTACATGTTCCACGGGAAAATGGCGGCAAGCAGCAGCACCTTGTCCTGGTCCCTGAGGAGAGCAGTGACCATGTGGCATGGAGGATTCTGGGGTGTAGAGGCCCTGATGCTGGATCCCAAACCCCAAGGGTGAGGTCAGCACCCACACCAAGAAAGGACAAATGATGACTGCAAAGGAGTGAGGTCAGGCAGGAATTTTAGCAGCTCAGGAGGGCTTGTCCCTCATGATCCCTGGGAACAGGAGGGCTCAGACATGCTTCCAAGGGGGCCAAGGCATTGCTACAAGTCCTGCCTTGTCTCGGGAATCTGTGTACTTGCTGGTTTTGGCAATAAAGATGGCTTGTAATATTCTGAGTTTAGTGTCCCATTGGGAATGACAGCTTGCAGCAAAGCCTTCTTAAAGACAGAAATTTAGGAAGTCCATGTGATCTTGAGTCTTAATGTTGTTTTCATTCAAACAGTAATGAAAAGAGATGCTATCATCTTCCAAGAGACTGTCAGTTTTCTCTTTAATCATCACCCAAGAGTGAACCTCATATAGTTTCCTCCCTCCTTGGTTCCCCTTCCTGGTAACTACTGAAGCAAAGCATCTGGAATTGGTAGGTGTTCACTGCCTACCACATCTCCTCCATGTCAATATCCAGTGGCCTGACCCTAGGAACCTGTGATCATTGTTCCTTTGCCTTGGTTTTACCAGAGAACACCAAGCAAAGAGAGAATAAGGAACTTCTGGCATGCTATTTTTACTGTCCCAGTACTTTACTACTGAAACTTCTTTAACAGAACACTAAAGATAGCTCTTCAACAGACTGCATAAGTTGGAGGTCAGTGGTCAGGCCCAGCCATACCTCAACGTAAAGAACAAGCTCAGAGGAAAGCATCAGTAGTCTTCAAGCCATCCAGGTGCCTGGACATGCCTCTCACCTAAGGGAGAATCATATCTAGCACTGAAGGTGACAGCACAGTTATCCTTCACATTCTTCTGTCTGACTGCTTTTTGCACTGGCTCAAATTCAAGAAAAAGCTTGAAAAATTCTTTATAGATTAATGATCATTTTCAAAACTGCCTTCAGGGAAAGTGCCTTTTCCAGTTCTGCTACCACAGAGATCCTTTTGTGCTATGAGTCCTCATGGTCTGTGGCTGCCATTACGTGGGAGGACAATTAGGTTGTTTGTATAGGCCACTTTCTATCTGTGCTCCTCCTGGTTTCTGATGAGAAGTAATGGGTTGCCCAAGAGAAGAATTATGTGCCAGTCTGGTCAAGTACTGAGATGGAGGAGGGTACCTCCAAGGAGCAGTAGGTGCTGGAACATGGCATGACTAAAGGGTCTCAGCATGCCAGCTTTCCAACAGAGCTGAGCTCTCTGTGTCACCTCCCTCAGTCACTGAGGAAGATCCAGCTACAGAGATCTTCAAAGGACCAAATGAAATGACAGCAGCATGGTCCTCTTCTCATGACTGAGTGGAGTGCTCAGGTTAGGTACTACGTGCCAAAGTGGCCTGTGGTGGATATGGACACAGAGAGGGTGAAATAAGGACAATGCTTGTAGATGACAGAATACTCCAGACACAGGGGAGCATGTAGTATCTTCTGGCTGATGGTTAGGTGTGTTAAGGTCAGTGGTTATGCTTGTCAACATGTGCCCAGATACTCTAGAGCACGTGGGAGCCAAGCAGATGATAGGAGTGATCAGAGCATGCCAAAGCCCTCACAACCCTCGCTGATGGCCAGCTGTAGCATCCTGTGCACCTCTTCATACGAGTCATACGTAGGGAGGCACAGCTGGTTAAAACTGAAAAGACAAGGGGAAAATGATTAACTCATACTACCAGAAACATGGGCAAAGAGCTAGAAAGATAATTTCCCCACAAGGGCCTGCATTGGGCAGTCAAGTCAGACACCTACCACGTGTGTGCGGTAGGAAGTGTGCTGTGGGTCGGAGCAGCAATAATCTGAAATGAAGGACAGAGGGCAGCAAAGCCTCCCGGTGGTAGCTGAGAGGAGCCTGTTGTGAACTGAAGAAGCCGAGCCAATTCCTCCTGGGTCAGACTGGAAACCACAGTCCAAAACCACCTCATGACCTGGCAGGAAGCATATAGGGCTAGAGTCACACATGATATGCAGCCTAAGACTCAATGCTTAGGGGAAGGACTAGGATCCTCTGGGATATGCTCCCATTTACAGTTCTATGAGCATGAATGACAACTTCTGCAAGAATTTACATCACCACAGGGCCCAAAAGGTAATCACCAACTGATTGCTTGGCTCTATTTATTTGTATTTCCAATTTACTGCCCCAGAAGTTGAATTAACAGTCTTAGAACCAGAGGTCCTTTCAGCTTGGGCAACTACCTTTTTTCCCCATATATATCACTTTTCCCCCAATCAACATGTCAATTTCTTTGACTCCTCTACTTTTTCCTTCTAAAACCTTTTCCTCACAGGATGACACAAATCCAACTTTAGGAAGTTTGGCCCATTACCTTTTCTCTGAAATGCCAGGAGCCACCGACAACTACAGCATGAGCTTTGAAGTCAGACACACTGATGTCTCCAGTCCCACACATCAGCAGCTGAAGAGACAGACAGAAAGACAAAGGCCCACTATTCAGCCAGAGTTACCTACTAACATGCAAATGCAGAATAAAGACAACACCAGCAGAAAGACAGAAGGTGAGATAACAGTACCACAGTACTGTTTGTGGAAAAATCGATTGCAGTAGGTCAATGGTTTCTAACCAGTGTGGTGGGGAGGAAAAAAAAGAAAAAAAAAATCAATGGCTCAGTTGGTAAAAGTGTTAATTAAGCAAGCCTGATGACCCAAATTGGATCCTTAGAACTGGGAAGAGGGGCAGGGGCTGACTCCCTGAAGTTTTCCTCTGACCTCCACATATGCACTATAGCAAAGTGTGCTATGGGACACAAACGCACACAAACACACAAAATTTAAAAAATAGATAGATATGCTTATAGCCGTACCCCTAAATCTACTGAATCAGTGTCTAGGGCTGGATTATGCATTTATATAATCTGAAAAGGTTTCCTAGGGTGCTTCTGATTAGCATCCCTAATTAAAAATTGGTATGGAAAGGCTGGGCGTGATGGTGCATGCCTTTAATCCTCTTGGGAGGCAGAGGCAGGTGGATCTCTGTGAGTTTGAGGCTAGCCTGGTCTACATAGCAAGTTCCAGGCCAGCTGGGACTACAGGGAGACCCTGTCTCAAAAATACAAAAAAAAAAAAAAAAAAAAACCCAAAAACAAAAACCCCAAAACTTACTATGGAGCCAGGTGTGATGGCACCTTTAGTCCTAGCACCAGGGAGGCACCGGTGGATCTTTGTGAGACTGAAGCCAGCCTGGTGTATACAGAGAGTTCCAGGTCAGCTGGGCCTATAGGGAGACCCTGTCTAAAATATCCAAACACCCAAAACAAAAAGAAAAAAACTGCTATGGACTCTTTGTAATTAAAGGATGAGAGAGAGACAGAGAGAGAGAGAGAGAGAGAGAGAGAGAGAGAGATGTTCTAGCTATCAGAAGAATGCCAAGGCAAACCCCTTCCCTTTGATAAAGACTCCAGACCAATCTGTGAGTCTTTTCCCTCAAGATCTATCCTCACTGTGTGGACTGAACTTTTACTATCTTCCCTTCAGCCCTGATGCCACTTGATCAGATAAATTAAAAGGTATGCCAAAAAATTAGAACATTAATGACATCAGAGCCCTAAATATCTTGTTGGTGTCTTAATTTGGTTCAGGACTGAACCAGGCCTGAGCAGACTGAGTTTTTATCCAATAGCTATAAAGATTGATTATCTCCTAATCAAGAGACAAAAAAAGTCCCAAATTAAGCCGGGTGTGGTGGTGTACGCCTTTAGTCCCAGCACTTAAGAGGCAGAGGCAGAGGCAGGTGGATCTCAGATTGATGTCAGCCTGCTCACCATAGCAAGTCTGGGCCAGCTAGGGCTACAAGGAGACCCTTTCTCAAAAAGAACCCCCAAAAGACTGCAAATTAAGCCTGAGAAACTATGGTTTCTTCAAGAACTTGCCAAGCTAATGAGTAGGAGCCAGAATGTGGAATACTGTAAGAGACTACAACTTCCCTTTTTACTCACTTTTACACACTGTTACAAGATAAAATATACCAGGAGCTATCTTGCCCCCTCCACCCTCAAATAACAGTATGAGTGGTCTATTTGAAAATTTAGGTTGATGCCAGGCATGGTGGTACACGCCTTTAGTCCCAGCACTCGGGAGGCAGAGGCAGAGGCAGGCAGATGGATCTCTGTGAGTTCAAGGCCAGCCTGGTCTACCTAGTGAGTTCTAGGCCAGCTGGGGCTACAGGGAGACCCTGTCTCAAAAAGACCATAAAAAGAAAAGAAAAGAAAAGAAAAGAAAAGAAAAGAAAAGAAAATTGAGGTTGAGATGTAAAGAATTAATTTTGTTTGAATTTCTTATCTACAGGTATAAAAAGTGATGAAAATTACAGGTTTTGATTGTTTTCCAAGAACAATAAGCTAAAAAGAATAAGAATTATATAGTATCACCTCACACTAATTTTTTTCTCACCATTTTTAAAGGACTTCCAAGAATAAATAGTTTTCAGAAACAAACTCCTCATAAAATCCTATGAAGTTAAAATTTATGACTTGGATTGTATCATCTGTGGAGTAGCAACACCAAATAAAGACAAACTGACCTCATATATACATTTGACAGTCTTTAATTCAGCTAACTTTATATTCTATAATCCCCTTAAATGTCATAAGACATTATGAAGACTGCATATAATACCATTATTTATTTTATTTTATTTATTTATTTATTGGAGACAGGGTCTCACTATGTGGCCCTGGCTGGCCTGGAACTATATAGACGAAGCTAGCCTCAAACTCACGGAGTTCCACCTGCCTCTGCTTCCTGAGTGCTGGGATTAAAGGTATGCATGTGCCACCACGCCTGGCACCAATACTCTTTTACTGACTAAATAATATCAATAATATCTGGTGAATAAATATTAACTACTCTTCTTCATAAACACTTGCTGCTTTCTGACTCTCACTCTAACTTTTAAAAGCTGAAGAAAGGGTCAATGACTAGAAGGGTAACAAAAGTGAATCCAGCTCTTCCTGCCATACCCCATAACAGAAGGTACAACAAGCAGGTTCCCATACGCATGTTCTCAAGAACAGGTGTCTGGGGCTGTCAAGATGGCATAGCAGTCAAAGGCACTTTACTGCTAAGCCTGGCCACCTGATTTCGATTCTCAGGACCCACATGATAGGCGAGAACTGACTCTGCAAGTTGCCCTCTGATCTTCACTTGTGTGCCACAGCGCATGTGTGCCCTCCCTTCCCCAAATAAATGAAACAAAACAAAACAGAGCAGGGGTTTGAATAATAAGCACTTACCTCAAGCTCATTTTCATCAAAAATAGCCAAAAGATTCTCAGGAACCAACTCATTCAAGCCTGAAACAAAGTAACCAAGTTAAAGCCATACCTGCAACCATGACACAGACATTTTAAGCCACAAGGAGACAGGATCCTACCTTTTAGGAAATGTTCCACCTCCTCTTTCACTTGACTGGCCAGCCGATACTGGGCTAGCAAGTTTAAATAGAAGATTTTATTTGCATTTGTAACTGGGGTTTGAGCTCCACCTGTCATTAGTTCTACAACCTGAAACAGGAGGCAAAAGACAAAGGAGACACTGTGGATGGATGATTAAGATGTATCTGCCTGAAATGTTCTACAAGCAGCATAACTGGACTCCCTCAGTGTCAGCCATAAGCTTCTGCTCTGCATTTGGCTTTGTAACACACTTGCTTTTATCTTTCATTACTGGTCCTCAGGGCTCACAGCACTGTTGCCATACTCCACCAGCTATTATCTCTAAGGGTGTATTAATCAAGGTCTTCTCAGACGCAGCAGTGGTGACACAACAGGAAGATGCTATGGTTTCTTGTCAGCAATGTTTCAATCTAACACCCAAAATTAAACCACTCATGACCTTTTCTCAAAGAAGTTCTTTTATGTCTCCAGATTCTAATATGGAAACATCTGTTCCTACACATTCTTCTATCTCCAAAGTTAATCAGTGGAAATGGCAATGGTTTGAGGCTTAGATATTTGGCTTCCAACCCTAGCCCTGATACTAATTTGCCACAGAATTTCAGTCAATTAACTATTTGTCTCCCACATATTTGCAAAGAAAAGCTGAACAAGCTATATGATTCTCAAATAGCTTTAAACAACCATTAAGGGGCATGTAAGGAAGCCCCAAGTAATTTAAAACCGTCACTCTGGGAGGCTGGGCTCAGGGGTTAATGGCATTGATTGCTTTTGCAGAGGACCCAGGTTCAGTTCCCAACACCTACATGGTGGCTAACAACTAGCCCTAATTCTAGTTCCAGGGGAGCTGATGCCCTCTTCTGGCCTCTGTGGGCATCACACACATTAATGTACTTATACATGTGCAGGAAAAACACTCATACACATAAAATAAAAATAAATTTAAAAAAATTTAAACCATTACCCTAGAAAATTTGTCTAGTAACCACAGCTGTCTCTATAAATGAATGAAAGCCTTCATCAGTTACAAGATTAGATGTAAGGTCTTGTTGACAACATGCTGGCTCATTTGAATTGCATTAATGTGAACATTAAATTTTAGTAACATTTCTTAGGTTATTAGGTAGAAATGCGTTTCCATATAAAACACTCAAAATTATACTAGAAATATAATATCCATAGTTGAAAAAAAGTTCTGTATTCTTAATCAACTGAGAATTCCTGCTGGGGAATAACATGCTGTTCCTAATATGCCATCCCTAGGGCCTGAGGACTGTAACTTAATCTAGCCGCTTTGTTATGCCAGCTCAGGAAGATAGGTACAGATGCCATGAGCACAAAGACAGACAAACTGGCATTCCTATAACTTTCAGAATACCAGTACCACAACTTTTCAGTCATTGTTACTTTGCTTTTAATTCTGTATTATTATTATGACTTTAGCTTCATTATTATTTGATATTAACTTTATAATGTAACAAACCACATTTGCAACAAAACTATTTCTGACTAGTAATTTCCTCATAAAAAGTTTTGCTATACACTGGGGTGATGCATGCCTTTGATCCCAGCATTCAGGAGACAGAGGCAGGCAGAGCTCTGTGAGTTTTAGGCCAGCCTGGTCTACATAGCAAGTTCCAGGCCAGTCAGGGATATACAGTAAGACCCTGTCTCAAAAAAAAAAAAAAAAAAAGTTTTAGCATTATAGTCATTGTGTTAAACTAAGAGTCACCTACATCACAACTGCTAACTGTTGATACAGATACTGCCATCCCTTCCAAACTGGCCTATGCAACAACCTTCATTATCATTCTGTTCTTTTTGAGCTGGAAAGTAGGAATGGGTGTGACAGACGGGGCATATGTCTTTTATTCCACTCAGATGGACTGAGACTCAGGCTCAGGTACAGCTTAGTGACAGTGTGCATGGCCAGGTTCAATACTTAGTTCACCATCCCCCAAAAGGATAATAAACTTGGGGGGTACAATGCTCTAAATTTGCACGGTTCAACAAGGAAGCCACTAGTTACAAATGGGCATTTTAGCCAGGTGTAGTGGTACATGCCTTTACTCCCAGCACTCAAGGCAGAGGCAGGCAGATCTCTGTGAGTTCAAGGCCAGCCTGATCTATAGAGTGAGTTCTAGGCCAGCTGGGACTACTTGGAGACCCTGTCTCAAAAAGATGAAAAATAAAAGCAAAAACAAGGCATTTAAGTAAACTAAAATAAGATAAAATGGGAAATTCAGGTATCTAGTCATATTAGATATATTTTGGGTATTTAATGGGCAAATTTTGATTCCATCACTGCAGAAAGCCCCATTAGAACCACTTTAGAGGGAGCCAGGGATTGGGAATCCATAAGCCCTGATCTTCTTTCTCACCTTATCCAATTGACCTGATTTATTATATTTCTCTTCTGCAAAGACAAGCTCCATTTCACTCATGTCATTGTTGAGGATAAAGCAAACTTTGGATTTAAAGAATTCTGGGTCATCTGTTTCAAAGTACTGAGGAAACAGAAAGAGACAGAGAAGCACATAAATACTCTTTTACCAGAAATGAAATTTTAACTGCTTTGAGTCAATTAATTATGTCTTCAACCTTAAACATAATCAGTTCAGCGGGGCTGGAGAGATGGCTGAGTGGTTAAGGATACTTGCTATTCTTTCAGGGGACGAGGACCCAGGTTCAATTCCCAGCACCCACATGGCAGCTAAGAACCATCCATCACTTCAGTTTTAGGGGATCAGATACCCTCTTCTGCCCTCTGCAGGCACTGCACAAATGTGGTGCACTTAAACACATGCAAGTACTATACTCATACACATAAAATAGAAAATAAAATTAAAAAAAAAAAAATCAGCCCAGGTAAGAGATCCCAGAGCCAAGAGCAAGGCAGCCTTAGTAGAAATATACACCTAAGATGTTACCTTGTAATGCATCCGTAGTCCTATGATTTGGGCCAGGAAAGAACGAGTGAAACGAGCACGGACCAACTGCTTGTAGGCTCCTCCTAGAGAGGATTCATACAAACACTTGCCTACCAGCCGCCCTGCAAACTCATACATCTTCAAGCGCAGGTGAGCTGGACGATTAGGGTTAGGATGTACCTGACAAAGAAAGAAATTGAAAGGCCTTGGACCATTTCTCATCAGTCTCAGTTCTGGAAAGGCCCTCTCTCCTCAATGTCCTGTACAATTTGGATCTAGAATATTCCCCAAAGGTGTATGTGTTAAAAAAGTTTGATCCCCAGTCCATGATGCTATAGGGAGGTTTCAGGTTACGAAGGGGCGGCATGCTCTTGAAGAGAACTGTGGGGCCCTGGTCTCTTCCTCTCTTTCATGCCCTAGCCGTGAGGTGATTTTGTCATGCTCTGTCACTATGATGTGCTGCCTTACCACAGGTCCAAAAGCAATGAGGTCAACTAACCATGAACTGAAACTTCTAAACATCTGAGCTGAAATAATTTTTTCTCTTTAGAAGCTGATTATCTCAAGCATTTATTACAGTAATGAGCTCATATATCATACCAAGGGAATAAAATTTTCACTGTGAGGATCAAAGAGCCTACCACTGAGTAATTTAAAGTGACTGGAGGATAAAGGGCAGGATGGGCTTTTATTATCTAGGGAATCTTAGTTTGTGGTCCCTGGTTGAGTTCAGAAGTTAAACAGTAGATGATATGATGCTTTTCCCTAAACTAGAACATTTTTTATTTACAGTCTCATTCTCTACTCTCAACATCGCTCTCTGGTACAGAAATCAACTGCTGAAGTGTGTCCTTCCTTCCTTCCCTTCCTTCCTTCCTTCCTTCCCTTCCTTCCTTCTTTCCTTTCCTTTCCTCTTTCCTTTCCTTTTCCCTTTCCCCTTTCCCCTTCCCTTCCCTTCCCTCCCTCCCTCCCTTTTTTAGAAAGTGGCTTAATTATTATAAATTAGTAAAATAGCCATTGCACTATAATGTTCTTAGGCAAATATTCAACTATCTGTATTTTCTCCTATTTTACAGATAAAATAATGAAAGCAAATAAGAAGGAAGCAACTTCATTAGCTCATTATAAACAGCAAATTAAGAACAATATGCAAAGGTCAATATTCAAAGGTCAGTTGTATAACTTATAATCCTTGTATATTCAATGTGATTTTCCACCCACCCAGGGGTAAGTCACACTCACTAGTGCTTGGTTGTTGTCACTGAACCGGGTGAAGAGCTGACTGGTGGTATCAAACAGTGCTTTGCAGATTAGCTCAAACCATTCCCGGCGAGGCCCTCCCCAGTCCAAAGCTGAAAAGGTATAATGAAAATTAACAGTGATGCTGCCTTCCAGTCTCCTATTATTTTTCTTGAGCAATCATCTCCCATTCTCATACCTCCTCTGTTCCACTACCTTACTGTTTCTTCACTACTATTCACCTACATGGCAGACATTTTTTTTGAAATCCCACACCTGTGTAGGACTAAAGGTATTCTATGGAAATATAGGTCAGAGATCCCTGGAAATGGGCATTTCTCCTGAATCTGCAATGGTTATTTTGTCCTCTGGTTCAAACTATTAATAGCTCACCCTCTAGTCCTTGTGTCTCTGCGCTATAAGCTCTGCCATGTCATCTGGCCAGTCAACACTATCTTTTCTCTCCTGACTCATAGAAGCTGGGTTGTTTTGGGAGGTTGAGGGGGGATTGGTTTGGGGATTTTATGGAGTGTATGAGAGGGTGAGAGCAGGGAAGGAGAATTAAGAAGAGGAAATGAAATTTCAAAACTGACCTTCTTCATCCTGGAAGACCACTTCAAAATTCTTGCTCCAATCTGAGATGGAAAAATTCCGAGTGGCCTTCAGAGACTGAAAAGCAGCAAAAGGAGGGAAACTGTCAGAATGCTGGCTGGTACCCTTAGATGCTGAAGAAGACTGCCATTGCCCACTGAGCTAATTATCATGTAGAGGAGATGGTTCACAGATAACCTTTAATAATATCTCATATTTAAATGCACATATCTCCAGGAAAAATTCAAGGTTGTTGGTTTTGCTTTGTTTTGTTTTTGGTCTTTTTGAGACAGGGTCTCCTTGTAGCCCCAGCTGTCCTGGAACTCACTATGTAGACCAGGATGGCCTTGAACTCACAGAGATCCATCTGCTCTGCCTCCCGAGTGCTGGGATTAAAGGTGTGCACCGCCACACCCAGCTGTTTTGTTTTGTTTAAAAAAAAAATTTCTAGGTGTGGTGGCGCACACCTTTAATCCCAGCACTCCAGAGGCAGAGGCAGAGGCAGGCGGATCTCTGTGAGTTTGAGGCCAACCTGGTCTCCAGGCCAGCTAGGGCTACAGGGAGACCCTGTCTCAAAAAAAAAAAAAAAAAAAAAAAAAAAAAATCTCAGCATGGTAGCACACGCCTGTGATCCCAGCAATCAGGAGGCTGAAGCACAAGGGCTTGTAAGTTCAAGGTCAGCCTGGTATACATAGACTTTATCACTGGAAAAAAAAATCAAATTTGAAATCAAATTTAGAATAACAGTACTTGGGGGGCAGGGGCAGGCAGATGTCTGTGAGTTTGAAGCCAGGTTGATCTACATAGCAAGTTCTAGGCCAGCCAAGGCTACACAGTGGAACCTCATCTTAATTCAAAAAAAAAAAAATAGAATTCTGAAAGTTGATTTTTTTTTTTGACAATCTTCATTTTATTATTGAAAATCTTCTTATAGAAAAGAGGGTTTTGGGCTGGAGAGATGACTCAGCAGTTAAGAGCGCTGACTGCTCTTGCAGAGGACCCAGGTTCGATTCCCAGCACCCACATGGCGGCTACGAACCATCCTTAACTCCAGTTCCAGGGGAATCCGAAGCCCTCTTCTCACCTCCACAGCATTACACAACACAGGTGCACTCACATACACGCAGGCAATACACTCATACACATAAAATAAAAATAATAAATAAAATATTTTTTTTAAAAAGAGGGTTTTAAGGCAGGCATGGTGGTGCACACTTTAACCCCAGCACTCAGGAGGCAGAGGCAGGTGGATCTCTGTGAGTTCAAGGCCAGCCTGGTCTACATAGCAAGTTCCAGGCGAGCTGAAGCTACAGGGAGATTCCGTTTCAAAAAAAAAACAAACACAGAAAAGAAAAGAAGGTTTTTTTCCTTAAAGACCCAAGTAAATAATGACTGTAAACAGGAAAACCAAAAAGTCTTGGTTTTCAGTAAAGTATACACTACCCACTAGACATCTTTATCCACAAGGCAAGGTCCACACAGGGAACCATGCCACATGGGGAGTGTGGCTGAGAAAGGGGGTTTCCAGTCACACCTACCAGAGCCAAACACCACAAACATTTTCTGGAGAGGCAGCAAGCCTTCTCATTCTTGGGGAATGTCAGACCCATGCCAGTGTCTGTGTGGTGGAGACAGACACTCATCAGGTGTTCCATTTCCATCAGACCACAGTGACAACAAAAAAATCACTTCCTTTTAATCCAGCAAGAGCTCTTCTATTCCAGGGATTCATTAACAAGAACTTTCTTCTCTAAACACTGTGTCTACTCCCCTAGACTGGAGGCTGTTCAGGAACTAGCTCAGTGTAGACCAGAAAGCCTACGTGTCATCTAGTCTCCCCTCAGTTACATGCCTCCAGCACAATGGCTCCACACTAAGTATAATAAAACTATATATAAAGAGAAGAACAAATAGTCTCTGATAGATTTAGAAAGGGAAATTTACATTTCATACAAACAAACTGCAGGATATAACCAAATACTAAAGAGATCCTTACTTTGACAGATTCTATCTGCTGAAAGATGAAACTTTACATACCGATTCCAACAAGGCGTGTCTGCTGACCTTCAGGGTGACTTTGGAATGTGGTTTCTTCATATGTACCTGCCGAAGCTCTCGCTGGAAAAAGTTCACCTTATCCTGAAAGGTCTCAGAGCCTCCTGAGGAGCACCAAGATCCATCATGATTACAGCCTTATTAGCAGACACATGTGGAGTACCTCCCCACAGCTCTACAACCTCAGGGATGCAGGGGGACTAGGTTCGCTACTTCCCCACCCTTACCAATGTTCTTGTGTAGGGAACGGATGAAAGTGGCTGCCAGAATGTTCCTCTCCTTGCAGCTGAGCTCCACAGGAGGCTGAATGCCATCATCTACCACCAAGGTGAGAAGCTTATGAACAGGGTCAGGGCCAAGGTATGAAAACTAGCAAAGGAAATAAAGAAGGAGCTAATTGAACCTATAAACCCGTTAATTCCAACAAAAACTTTCCATATACCTATTCTGCTGGACAAAGAACAAAAACAAGGTAAACCTCTGTTTTCTAAGTAAGTGTCTATCAGGAGTACAATTCTTGGTTTTTTTTTTCTTTTAATCTCAACTTAAAAATAATTATTTTTTGTGTGTATATGTAGGTATGCATGTGCCACACACAATACAGACATGGAAGTGAGAAGAGTTGGTTCTTTCCTTCCACCATGTAGACTGAACTCAGGTTACCAGGCTTGGCAGGTACTTTTACCTGCTGAGCTATCTTGCCAGCCCTATCTCAACATTCTATAATTCAAGGTTGTTTTTTGTTGTGTGTGCGTGTGTGGATGCATGCCCAGGCTACATATGTTTGTGTGTACAACTTTCAGGAGTTGGTTCTGCCTTGCTGCATACTCCAAGCTAGATAGCCCTCGAGCTGCTCCTGTCCGTGCCTCCCATCCTGCCACAGGAGTGCTGTGAGTACAGAAGTGTCATGCTGCATTCAGCTTGTTACATGGGTTCTGAGAATTAAGTCAGGTCATTGGGTTTGCATAGCAAGCACTTTTACCCACTGAGCTATCTTGCTGGCCCCTAATTCAAGTTTTAATTGAAATTATCCAGGTCACAGAGAAATGCCTTTAAGTAAGGATCACAGGCCACACTCTAGACCTTCCAACATAAAATATAGGAAAGGTGAAAGAATATACAAAAGAGCAAAAATTATTATTCCAAGCGATTTTTATAAACAACACATCCAAACCTCTAGGTAGAAGTTTAGATTCTAAAAGCCCAGAAAAAAAAAAAGTACACACACACACACACACACATGCATTTTTAATACATGAGAACATTTCTTCTGAAAGAATGAGCTTTGAAGTTGGTGCTGAAGACAAAGATATCGATAAAGTATTCTGAGCTGTTATTAAATTCCCGTCTCTGTAGGCACACATCCTTGAAAGATTTACTTATTCTTTATACCATTTAATGAGATAACTTTTTACTAGGAAATAAATCCTGTGTACACAGGGAGAACTTCCAGAAACACTCAAAACCCTCTCAGGAAAAAGAAAAAGCTAAGGCATCCAGAGCTGAAGTCGCTCAGTATGAAGCAGACCTAGGAAGGCTCTACTTACTTTTGTTCCTGGGCATACTCGGAAGGTGTAAAGACGCCAGGGGATGATTTTCAGGTAGAATTCCTTCACTGAGAATTGCTGGAGAACCAAAATAGAAAATGAACCGAGTGATAAAGAAAAAGGCCGTGTTTGGGGTACTGTAAGTAATACCAGAGTCTCTTATCTACATTTTTCATGATAACAAAAGGATAGTCAGTACTAAAAAATACATATCCATCCTGTCTTTAAAAAGGCCAATAAAGCTGGGTGTGGAGGCACGGAGGCATGGAGGCCTCTAATCCCAGGATGCAGGAGGTAGGAGAGGCTGGTACACTAGCCTGGTGTACATTGTACATAGTGACTTCCAGGCAATCTGGGGCTACAGGAAAAACCCTGTCTCAAAAAACAAACAAACAAAAAGATTATGGCATAATCTCTGAGCTGGGATTATAGGCATGCACCACCACACCAGGATGATACATCAAAATCTTAGCACTTAAGTCTCTCTGTAATTTTAGAATATCTGGAATTAGGTTTTACTTTATGAGTATAGGACATTTCACCTAGAAATAACCAAGATCTCCACTGCTGCCTTGCCTGCTGCTGCTCATAGTGACTCATTCCAAGTCCACATAGGAACTAACAGCAGCCCATATCCACTGCTTTCTACCTAATTGATGTTGTTGTTTTGTTTTTATGTTCTGAGACAAAATCTCACTCCAAAGCCCAGGCGTACTGGAACTCACTGTGTAGCCCAGGTTGTCCTTGAATCCACAGTGATCCTCTTGCCTCAGCCTCCTGAGTGCTAGGATTACAGATGTGAGCTACTATGCCTGCCTCTTCTCCCTATTTGAATGGCACTAAGAACTTACCAAGGAAGGGGAGACAGGAAGAGGCTGTGTGTGCATGAGTCTGTGTGAGAGGGCTGGAGAGAGGTGCAGTAGGGACCTCACACAAAAAGTTTACCAAAATACCTCATGTAAGGATTAAGAAGGCTCTTATGCCTTTTATAAAAGAGGAAACAATAATGCAATATTTATTTTTAAATCTGTTATGTGACTGTGTGGCAAGTCATTCATTTTTCTTTTGTTCAGTCCTAGAGACTCCCTCAAACATGCTAGGGTAGCATTCTACCACTGAACTATATCCCCAACAATTTTTCCTTCAATTAAAGTTAAATTTTCATTAAAGAAAACTTCTAACTTGTACAAAAAAAGAGAAAACAGTGTAACAAACCCACTGCCAATCTTAACAATGATTAATTCAGTGCTGATCTTTCATTTCCCCCATTCAGCTCCCTCACTGCCATCCCTCCTAGTCCACATGAAGGCTAGATTTTAAATGAACATGATATATATGATGGTTTGAATGAAAATGTCCCCCACAGGCTCCAAGTATTTGGACATTTTGTCCCCGTTGGTGGTGCTGTTTTGGGAGGTCTTAGAAGGTGTGGCTATCCTGGAGGAAACACATCACTGGGGGTGGGCTTAGAGAATTCTTAAGCCTTGCCAGATCTGGAGTTGCTCTCTTGCTTCCTGTGTCTGCTTGAAGATGTAGAGCCTAGCTTCCGCTCCTCTTCCAGCCACCTCTGCTGCCATGCTTCCCCACCATGTGGACTCTTGCCCCGCTGGAACCATAAGCTCAAATAAACTCTTCCTTCTATAAGTTGCTTTGGTCAGTGTTTCTATCACAGCAACAGAAAAGTAACTAATACAGTAATAGAAAAGTGTTATAAAGCACAAGAGACTTTGTACTCAATTTTGAGTATGAGATTAAAGGGTGTAATACAATGTTCCAATAGTCTCATTTTTTAAGGACTGAATGAATAAGATAATACAAATAGTCAAAAGAAAGTGTTTAACACAAGGAGCCTCTGAGCTCAGGGCTTGGGAAATTCACCTTCTTGTCTCTGCCAAAATTTCTTTCTTACAATCTTGAAACCTGGTAGTGACAACCATTTATTATGTTTTCACACATCACAGAATGAAAGATCAAATTGTTTCAACACAGCACAAGGGGCCAACAGTGACTTTTATCCTAGTGAGGACTTCTTAATGATTCTGGGAGCCATGCCTTGGAAACTTTCCTGAAGCATTCAAAGGGCAGTATGTACAGGTGTTCAACAGTGCCAAGACACAGAGAAGCTATGACAGAGATCTGGTCTAGTACGAAGCAAACTGCTGCATCAGCAGAGGGGGCACAAGCTTCAGAAGCCTCTTTCAAGTCCCAGAACCTCTACATGTAGATGATCTTGCCCTACTGACACTCAGATTGCCACTCTGTGGTTTCTGTTACTAAGTGCTTATGATCTACAGGCTCAGACAGAGGAATTTTAAGGCAAGAATAGAGGTTCCAACCTTTGGTGACACATAGCAGTAGACCTTCTTCGGTTTCTTCACCTTCTCAGGTGTGTGGCATTCTGAGGGTGAGTCTTCATCTTCCTCTTCAACAGCAGTGGAAGGCCGGCGCTGGGAAGAGCTCATGTGCATGGGTGGAAGGTGCCATGGTGTGCTGGTACAGTTGTTAGCATTATAAAGATAAGCCTCAAAGTAAATGCTCACTCCTGACGTAGAAACATTGCGTTCAACAATATTCCTCTCATTCTCTGATGTATGACAAAGAATAAGGTTCAAAATAGGGATCAGGCAAAGGCAAACTTAGTAACAGTCATTTAGCGTACAAGGCAGTAAGGCAAATGAGCCTCAAATATCAAAAGTTTGTGGGGTGGGTCAGGAGTGTAGACACAAGAGGAAGAAGTTGTTGGGGGAAAGGACCAAATCACAGCTTTTAACTCACCACTAAGGACAATAATGTCAAATTCGCCATTATTGATTGGTTGATTCTGGTATGAAATGCAGGCATGGAAGCAACCACGAGAATTCAGGGTGAGCCGCAAGAAAACCTGGCATGTCTGCCTGTTGGAGGTCACTGATGTCTCAAATGAGACTTTACTACTCTCTTCTTCTTGAGGGCCGAGCTACAGGAAGGAAACAAAGCATCATTCCACTTGTACCATTTTCTCTATTTGAAAGGCAATTTACTTTTACAAAGAACATTCCTATCTATCCTCTACTCGAGTCTCACAGTTAATAACAGGACAAGTACTATCAGATAGATATGACAGCACTGAGGCAGAGAGAAGGCAACAAGAATTGGGAGTGAATCAGGAGTGAGGGTAACAGAAAGAGCCTATTCCAGCACACAGGAAAAAGGAGGCACTTACCTCATGAATGGACAAACTGTAGTTGTGCTCATCTCTCAAGGATGTTGAGTTGTTGGTAGGGTTGTCATATTCATCCCGGGGCACTATCTGAAGGGTGTGTGGCTGCCCACAGGTCAACACAAGAGTAGAAAAATGGCACACAATTTTGGTTTTGGAAGGAACCACCATACCTGGAACAGACAATGGAATCTAATGGTTAGAGAGGCGAGAGAGGTGTTCTTCAAGGCGCCAAGATCTGCTTAGTGAGTCAGACAGCAGGGTTCCTAGGGATAATTAAGAAAAGACCAAACAGGAAATAGATTAATATAAATGAACTTGGGGGACTTCTTTTGGGGGGGAGGTCTTTTTTTGAGACAGGGTCTCCCTATAGCCCCAGCTGTCCTGGAACTATGTGGACCAGGCTGGCCTTAAACTCACAGAAATCTGCCTGCCTCTGCCTCCCAGTGCTGGGACTAAAGGCATGGGCCACCACACCAGGCCTAGAGGGACTTGTTTCTTGTTGTTGCTTTTTGATGTGTTTTTGAGAGCTTTGTTTGCTTGTTTGTTTGTGTGTGGGGAGGGGTGTTTTTCGTGCACCACATACATGCAATACCTAAGGTAAGAAGTGGATGTTGGATGCTCAGGAACTGGTTATAGATGGTTGTTAGCTGCCATATCAGTGCTGGGAACTGAAGCTAAGGTCCTCTATAAGAACTGTCAGTGTTCTTAACTGCTGAGCCATCTCCCTAGCCTGTTTTTGTTGCTTTTAATAAGTTTTTAACCTCTGTCAGCACCAAATAAAATGAGAAAAGACAGGGAAGGAGACAGAACTGAGAAATACAGATACAGGGCTAAACTCACTCAGTGCACCTATGAGGGTGCACTTAAGGGTAAGTGCTGAGGGCCTATGAGATGGTTTAGCCAGTAAGGCACTGTATAAGCCTGGTGACCTGGCAACCTGGTGATCCACAACCCATGTAAAAGTAGAAGGAGAGAAAAAACTCCCAAGGTGTCCTCTGACCTCTACACAAACACCCATCATATGAGCACACCTGTACTCATACACTTATATGTATACACATACAATAATAATAAACAGGAATAAACAATGACAGAAGTACAAATCTAACAAAATATTTACAAGGCCTGTATGTTGAGCACTATAAAACACTGTGAACAAAAAGATTTTAAAAACATATATTTGATTTATTCTTCAAGCATCTCATATATGCATACAATGTATTTTGACTATATCCACCCCTATTCCCCCCAACTCCTCTCAAACCCCTCCCACCACACCCTCTTCCCAACTTCATGTCCTTGTTTTTAAACCCACAGAGTCCAATTAGTGCTATCCATAAGTGCATGGGTGTAGGCCAGCCAAATAAATGACTTAGATCATAGTTGTGAGTAAAAAAAAAAATTCAACATAGAGCAAGTGTCAACTTCCCCCGGTTCTTTTTTTTTGGAGGGGGGGGTCTTTTTGAGACAGGGTCTTCAATCTCACAGAGATTTACCTGCCTCTGCCTCCCAAGTGCTGGGATTAAAGGCTTGTGCCACCACGTCCAGCCACAATTCTTTTTCTTTTTTGGTCTTTTTGAGACAAGGTCTTCCTGTAGCCCCAACTGACCTGAAATTCACTATGTAGACCACACTGGCCAGCTGACCTGAAACTCACTATGTAGACCACACTTGCCTCCTGTCTGACTCTGCCTCCCCAATGCTGGGATTAAAGGCGTGTACCAACATGCCCAGCTCACAATTTTTATTAAAAGGAAAATATTCATATATTTAGACACTATCCCAAAGTCTGTATGGAAAAGTAAAGGAACTGGAATTAGGTACAACAATGTGAAAAAAGAATAAAGTGAGAAGGGCTAGTTTACCATTTTCAAGACTTGTTATAACAGGTACAGTAATCAAGACTCTGGTACCGGTCAGGAACAGGTACATCAACAAATGTTACAACAGAGAACTAAAACAGAACATCACAAATATACCCAGCTGATTTTTGAGAGAAGTATAAAAGCTCTTTTAATAAAGGAAAGATAGCCTTTTTAACAAATGGTCCTAGAACAACCAGATATCTACAAGAAAAAATAGAAGAACCTCGGCCCAAGTCTCATATATAAAATTCAACTAAAAATAAAGCATGGCTTTAACATAAAATAGGAAACCATATAACTTTTAGGAAAAAAAAAAAGGAAAAAATTCTTCAGGCCAGAGGTCTTCAACACCAAAAGCATGATTATGAAAGAAAAAAAGGAATGAAAGTAGACTTCATCAAAATTCAAAGTTTTTGTATTGTAGAAGACCTTATTAAGAGGATAAAAGAAAAGCAAGACTTTAAATATTAGGCAAAGGGCTAGTATGCAGAATTTATACAAAGAAACTCTCAAAATTCAACAAGTGAAAAACCAAAAATTTCTAATTAGAAAATGGGTAAAAAACATTTCACCAAAGAGGATACACAGATAGCAAAACACATGGAAAAGACGTTCAAGATCATTAACCATTTCGGAAATGCAAACCAAAGCACAGTGAGATAATGCATATTTATTAGGCTGGCAATGATGAGAGGAAAGTGGGTCATGCATACACTGCTGGTGGGATCCACACACTACAGCTACTTTGGAAAAGAGTTTGGCAATTCCTTTCTTAAAAACATTAAAAATACTAAGCATGTAACTATCAAATGACTTGGCAATTACATTCCGGAGCATTTATCCCAGAGAAATGAAAACATGCTCAGATACCAAAAAAAAAAAAAGTACATGAATGTTAACAGCAGTTTTGTTGATAATACCTAAAAACTGGAAGCAATCAGGATGTCCTGCAATGGGTGAGTAGTTAAATATTCATCTCATGGAATAGTACCAATAAAAAGGAACCAGTTTTCATATACCTGACACTCTGGATGAATCTCCTGGCAATTCAGCCAATCCCAAGAGGTTACCTATTATATATTCTACTTGTATGACAGTCTTCAAATGACAAAAGTATAGAAATGTGGTTTGGGGCTTTGTTTTCCTATTAGCCAAAGTCCTATCATTTATGTGGATACCAAAATAGCCAATATCTAAATCTATCTTCAAAGAAACACCAGGAAGGGAACATAGGGAAGACAGGTCTCCAACACACTAACTAAACATTGATGTTGCAGAGCCCAAAGTCAGAGATTACAGCTGTGGACCTCAGTCCCAGTGAGCATCTGTTATCTGGTGTAAAGGCATGAGAGGGAAAAGCAGAGATAAAGGCACTAAGTGTGGACAGATACTCATCGGTGTGAAGTAAAGTATGCATTGGCAGCAATGGTGAATTTGGGTTGGGCCAAGGTGTTTGTACTGAAAAAGGTTTTTATAAAAATCAGAAGAATTGTCAGGCATGGTGGCACACGCCTGTAGCCCCAGCACTTGGGAGGCAGAGGCAAGCGGATCTCTGTGAGTTCAAGGCCAGCCTGGTCTACATAGTGAGTTCCAGGACAGCTGGGGCTACAGGGAAACCTTGCTTCAAAAAGACCAAAAAAAAAAAAAAATCAGAAGAATTTATCTTCTTTCTATTCTGGTGCCCTTAGTCCTTAAGAACTTGTTCCATTGATTAGTCTGCAATTCTATTCCTAGAGAAATAAAAGCACATGCCCACACAAAACTGTACAAAAGTGCTAGAAAGATGGCTCAGCAGGTAAAGGCACTTGCTCTGAAGCCTAACAACCTGAGTTTAATCGCTAGAACCCACATGATGAAAGAGAGACCTGAATCCAGAAGTTGTCCTGACTTCCATACGCACACTGTGACACGTATGTGCATCACCCACACCCGTACAACACTCCACCACAAATACAAAGAAAAGCAATTAAAATTTAAAAATTTTAAATAAATATAGAAAAAAATTTCAATCTGTACACAAATGTTCACAGCAGCCTTACTTTCGGTAGTCAAGACGTGACATGGGAAGAAACAACCCAAAAGTCCACAATTTACAAAAAAGACAATTACTATGTGGCATAGTACTTGGCAATCAAAAGAAATGAGGGATTAATTAATGATACAGCATGGAAGAACCTTGCAAATATTATACTACATTACAGTCACAAAGGTCACACATTTTACAAGTTCAAAGACTAGTGGCTGAAGTGAGTTTGGTAACAAAGTAGCTAATAGGTCTGGGGTTTTCCTGTTGAGATAATGAAAATGTTCTAAAATTGACTATGGCAAAACTTGAAGGGCAATTAATTCAAAACACCATCACATTATCAAATGGATGAATTTTATGGCATGTAAATTAAATTTCAGTAAGTATCTTTTCTTTTTTTTAAAAGGAAGAACTGGGAGAAAAGCTCAGGAATAGAGCATATGCTTAGCATAAGGCCCTGGATTCAATTCTATCATACCCTACCCCCAAAAGAAAAGAACACACAAAGAAGGGGTGTGGGAAGGAGAAAGAAAGAAAGAACAAAGAACCTACCAGGCTGAAAAATTTTGTAGTAGGGACTATAGGCGACATTTAATCCACCAAGCTTCACTGTAATCTCATAACGCCCAGCCTTGCGCACAGTGAAGGCCACCTTTACCACGTTGGAATTGGGCTCCTGAAGGACTTCCTGGGTCACTGGAATTTCCACTGCTAATTCAACATGAGAGATGTGAACTCGCAGTCCCACAGGCCGATGTGCGGGGAAAGGCTGCCCATTCTTATAGAATAACTGCAGTGAGAAAAGACCAACACCCATTATTAGTAAGCAGAGGGAGAAAACCACTTCCCATGTGACAAGAGAGTGTGGGACAGAGGAAGCTGGCCAAGGTCACACTGGTAAATGCCAGTGCCTACCTGCTCCTTATAGTTCTGCTCATAGAAACACAGAGAAAGGCAAATTCCCTACGCACAACAAAGAAAAACTCAGGATAGGATAGCACACACCACCACATAAAGAACGTTATCAATTTGAACTTGATGTTTCTGAACATTTACTGCCTCCTCAGTGTTCCCAGCACACTCTATTTCACTCTCAATGCTAACCCAATGTGAAGGCAGTTAGTCAACAGCACAGCATCGACCACTGGCACCGAGGGGAAGGAGAGCACCAGGCAAGGACAGAGGGGTTCAGGCTCACATACGAAAGTTAACGCTACCTAGTGAAGAAGCTGATTCATGGGTTGCAAAGTTTCTCCGTCAAGTGCCAGATAGTAAATTCAGTTGGCTTTGTAAACCATACACAACTGTCCTAACTATACAGGTGAGAAAGGAGCCAGAGTCAATACAGGACAAATGCATATGGCTGGGTTCCAACAGGAAGTAGGGATGCTTGGCCTTTAGCCCACACTTTACTAATTCCTGATCTATACTACCTCATACCTTCTCTTTTTTGTTTCTTTTTCCTTTCTTCTTCTTTTTGTTTTTTGTTTGTTTGGGTTTGGTGCGGGTTTTTAGAAACAGAGTCTTATACAGCCCAGGATAGCATTAAACTCCCTATGTAGCCAAGGATGATCCTGAAGTTCTGATCCTCCTGCATTTGTCTCTGAAGTGCTGAGATTATAGGTGTGCAAATCCACTCCAGCCTCAGTACTACTTTTCTTTTCTTGTAACAGGGTCTCACTATGTAGCCCTGGCTGACCTGGAACTCCACCATGTAGATCAGGATGGGACTAAGTGCTACCACAGCTAGCACTTTCCTTATTTGAAAACATTAGACTTTGTATTTTGTCAAAGCTATGTACCCAGTAAACAAAAAACATAGGTAAATTAATGCCTCTTCAGATATTAACAATTCCCAAGGTTCTGGGAGGGACTGGAAAACAAGAGAAAATGTTATTCCAGTCAGCACAACCAGGACTGCACTAGTCTCTAGAAAGAAAATGACTTAGAAACCACAGAGACAGAAACATTCCCTTACATGCACTCGGAAGGCCATGCTGTGGCCCACCTCATAGGGGTCCTTCCAATCCCAGGACACTTTGCAGGACCGGGGATCCAAGTAATTTCCCCGCACATAGTCATAAATAGTCCGGTCCCCTCGGCGCTCACGGTCTTCATTTTGAAGAAAGCTGACTACACGTGCAGCAAGCTCAAAGAGGAACTTAATTGTGAAGAAGAATGCAACCACAGATACTGTGATTCCACCTACATAAAAGAGAACACACAAACCACCTACCAGTTACTCACTATAGCTTCTTGTTAGAGAACAGACTGCCAACTTAAAGGGACTCAAGGTGAGTTTGCAAGACTGTCAAAGAAACACTATACTGGGTCACTACCCCTGTGGGTGATTTTTCTAGCAGGAATCTTCTAGACCAGGAGTCAGTGTGCTGGATAGCTTTGGTTGTCAACTTGACACACCTGGGTAGAGGAAGCCTCAATTGGGGAATGCCTCCATTGGACTGGCCTGTAATCATGTCTGTGGGGCATTTTCTTGATTGTTGAGTGATGTGGGAGGGCCCAGCCCACTGTGGGTGGTGCCATCCCTGGGCAGGTGGTCCTGTATTGTATAAGAAAGCAGGGTGAGCAGGGGCCAGGGGAACAAGCAAGTAAGCAGCATTCCTCCATGGCCTGTGCTCCAGCTCCTGCCTCCAGGTTCCTGCCCTGAGTTCCTACTTTGGGCTCCCTAAAGAACTGTGACCCAGGAGATGTAAGCCAAATAAATCTTTCCTTCCCATATGGTCAGAATGTTTTGTCATGGCAACTGAAGGCAAACTAGAACAGTAAGTAACTATAGTCAAACCCTAAACCCTGCTTATTTTCTGTAAATTACTTGTGCTGGGATAGCTTCACCCATTCCTATACAGACTGTCTATGGTTGCCTCTGTACCACACAGACAGAGCTGAGTAGTATAAGAAGGCTGCATCCTTTTTAAAATGGGAAAGTATTTACTCTCTTATCTTTTACAAAAAGTCTGCTAACCAGTTCTTTCTATACTATGAGCTACATACAAAGCCGCCACACACATACCACCACTTTTCTGCCTATGCTGGCTCCTTACAGAAGCAGGAAAAAAAAGTGGTTCCCTCCATTTGAAAGATTTTCATTTTGTTGTCCACGTGGCAAAAGCCCTCCCGAGCTCCAACAGCTAGGAGTTCCTTCTCTTGGGCCTCCCTCAAACTTCTGTATCTATTAACTTTTTCCTTCTTGACCATCTTCCCTTCATGTTCTGAACTTCTTAAAGGCAGATTTTTGCCTTATTCAATTCTGACTCTAGAGTAAACAGTGTTTGGCATAGACTGTAATTCCTCAATAAATATTTCCCAAATGAATGAACTCCTCTGCCAACTCTATGCAGGTACAATTTAGCACAAGTGCAAATATTTTTAGCTCCATTTTTCAAAGGGAAAGAGGACAGAGTCGAAAAGGAACTAAATAACTATAACAAAAAGATGATAAAAAGAGCCTTCTATAACATACCAATAACGTAAAACATCAGGTCCCTTCAATGCCAACAGACAGCCGAGGATCACAGCTGCAACTGCAAAAGAAAATGTGTTTAGTTTCCTTCTCCAACTCTTCCATAAGTTACCTCAGATCGAACCATCTCCAGTCTAATGCTCTAATTGCCCTGTCCTCTGTGTCTAGCTTGACAGGTGACCTATGGCATCTTTCAGACAAATAAAGCAAGATTGTAACTCTCCCCCTAAAGGTTTAGAGTCTACTGACTACCCTTTAAACCTAAGTAGTCACTTGCTTTAGTGCCAATTACAAAATGAAATTACACAGCTTTTATCTTCTTAGATCCTGGGCTCCCAAGACAGTTTCCTTCTTTCATGCAAAGTGGCACTACTTAACACCAGCAAAGAGGATAATGGAATGCTTTTCCCTCTTATAGTATTTATTTGCCTTCTGAAAGTAATTCAGCTAAGTACAAATAGCTATATGAACTGTAGACTTTTTACTATAAGTATTAGTATCATCACATGGGCATTATGTAACAAAATTGAACTCTGGGTGATCCCAGTAAGAAGTAGTAGGTACTTTAGAGAAGTCATTCATGACATCACCAAATCAGACAAACTAATGGACCCTCTGGAAGATGAGTTCAACAGAAGGTCAAGGAGCTGAACAAAAGGAGAAAGGAGGATGGTGCTTCACATCCTAAGTGGTGTCTGAAAACACCAGAGTTTGAGGGGAAACTTCCACTGTTATTAAACTTGTTTCCTTAACAAAACTTCAATCTTTGACACTCATTTGGTCACTTGAACCACCAAAGGTACCACCAAAGAAAATGGCAATGTATGGCAATCTTTCTATTTCATACTAGAGTGTGACCTTTACATAGGCTGCATATGTGTATATATGCCCTCCATTCCACAGTGTACCAAACTCACTTTCAAGAAAGTGACCATTTTTTATCTGTACCCTGCACTTACAATACTTACATACTTACAGACCAAAAACACACAAACACACACACACACACGTACAAACCTGAGGCAAAAAATGTTCCTTTACTAATAATATATTAAGTGGGACCCACAGAGAGTAGATGTGGTGGTTTCAGTGAAAAAGGTTCCCCATAAGTTCATGTATTTGAATACTTGGTCCCCAGTTGGTGGCACTGTTTGGAGAAGTTACAGAATCTTTAGGAGGTGTATCCTTGCTGGAGAAGTATGTCATAGGGGTGGTTTTCACTGTTCATAGCTTTGCTCCACTTCTAGTTTGCTCTTTGTATTCTTCATTTGGTTAATGGTGTGATCTCTCAGCTGCCTGCTCTGTGTGCTGCCATGCCCTCCATTATGGATCATAAGCCAAAGTAAATTCTTCCATAAGTTACTTTTGGTCATGGTGTTTTATAACAGCAATAAAAATTAATAAAAACTACCAGGCATGGTGGCCCACACCTTGGTAACTTAAGAAATGATCACTCATGTTTCACAGAAATTCCTATTTAGATTGGGGTCTAAAGTCCTGCTAGAAAAGAAATCTATACAAGTAACATTAGAATTGTCAACACATGAATTAGGGTATTCTCAAAAACATCTACTATAGAGACAGTCTATAGACTCAAATTTGGGATTACAATTGTTGAGCCTCTTTCCTACACAGTATCTCATCTCCTGTGATTATATGCAGAAAAGCTGCTGTTGACTCTCAGAAAGCATCTCTCTGCACCTTACAGGATGTACTAGATGATTTAGTGGGACCAAACCTGGCAGTAAATGTCTTAGGTACTTTCTAAGCCGGCTGCCACCCAATGTGATACTGGATGTGAAACTTCTGGTCCTCAGGGAAGCGACAGTATTTAACAGAAAATTAAATGCATGTGGCTGATACAATCAACTTGTGATCTCAAGTGTCTTGGAGCTTGCTCCTTCGAAGAATTAAAAAGGTGTGGCAAACTTATGGCCTGAGTCACAAGAACTGACATAAATCATTATCTATCACTGACAACTACAACCTTTCCTTCTGTGAGGTAACTGGGTGAAGGCAGGGCCAGGGCTATAACTAACTGTACAAGCTATGTAGGCTTCACAATTCTTGCTGCTATAACCAGTTAAGATTTAATATTTTCTATATCACATCCTTTAGCATCATATTTGATATAACTCCCCATAGCAACAAAGGCTCTAAAATCAGAAAGTACAACAAATAGTAAAACATAAAGGATCATGGCAGACTCTAGAGTTAGATTACATAGGTTCAAATCAATATTTTGCCACTCACAATGTGACCCTAGCCAAGTCTTTTAATCACTCTACAGAGTGCCAGTTTCCTTCTGTCAAATGAGAACAATACTTACCACATGTGCCTCATCTCAGTGCTGTGAGGATTTAATAAGCTAACATGTTAGTCACCTAGAACTGTGCCTAGAATACAGTAAGCCTGAGGTCTTAGAGCTGATTATCTATAGTAACAGCATCACTACTCCTTTGTTTCAGAGCTGATAGGAAACTCAGAGAACCTCTATTAGACAAATCTTTCTTCAATGAGACATGTTTAACAATTACAAAGGGCATGGTTTCTCAGTGTGCCTAAAATCTTTTCTACAGGAGAATTCTTTAAACTAGTCTATGTGATGCCTAAACATGTTTATAAGAAGCCAAAACTCAGGTCTGGAAGTATGGCTCAGCAGTTAAAAGACTTTCTGCACTTGCAGGGGATCCAGGTTCTGTTCCCAACACCTATGTGGTGGCTCACAACCGTTTCTTACTCCAGTTTCAGGGGATCCAACACCCTCTCCTGATCTCCACAGGCACTGCATGCACATGATGCACTTATATATGCATGCAAAACACTTATCCACATAAAATAAAAATAAAGTTTTATAAACTTTTAAAAAGAAGTTAAACACTCATATTAAAACAAAGTGCTGGGGCTGGAGAGATGGCTCAGCAGTTAAGAACACTGATTGTCTTGCAGAAGATCCAAGTTCGAATCCCAGCACCCACATGACAGCTAACAACTGTCTTAATTCCAGTTCCAGGGGTTCTGACAGCCTCTTCTGTCCTCCGAGAGCATTGCACAACATGGGTGTGCTTACCTATGCACTCAGGCAATACACGCATACACACAAAATAAAAATAATAAATTTTTAAAAATTAAAATTAGAGTGCTTGATGTGTTGGGTACTGGGGGAACAGCATAATAGCCATTCATGAAGTCAGCAACAATAACCTTTACTTTGTTGAATCCTTGGCCATTTTTTAATCCTAGTCACTTATCTCTCAACCAAATTATTACTACTGATTTCCTACATCACCTAGATCTTTTCCAATAAGTTAATTCTATATCTCTACCCCAAAATCCTTTGTGACTTAAAACTCAGTATACCAATTACTACTCTTTTTCCAAATGACTCTTTCTTCTTAAAATGTATGACTAAGGCATTAGCTCCATCAATTCATCACTCACTGATTTGACCTTTATAAAATATCCCTCTGCTCTAACATCCTTGCTCAAAAAACTTCCCCCAAAATATTTACCCATCTCCAAGTTTTCCCCGGGGTCACATTCTGAACTTACTCCCTCTTCATTTTTTCCACTTTCTTATCCCTCCTTAATGCTGTCTGTCACATGGCTTTCTTGACTCTGTCAGGGGTTCTCTCTGTCCTGTCTCTCTGCTACACCCTACACTATTCTCCTTGACCACATCTCACATACTTACTCATCATTTCCTCTCATTACCCATTCTATGATTTACCCAGCTCAGATCCATTACATTTCTACATACAAGCTCTGAAATGTCCATTCCCATGCCTTTTTAAAAGTTGCCTCCTGGTACAGGTCAAAAACCCACGGCTGGCAAAGTCATAGATGCTGGTGAGGAAGCTACTGCCTTTGATTTGCTAAATGGACATGATGTGCCTACTAAACTGCCTTCTAAATAATTGTTCTCACAACCTTAAATTAATGCTGTTGTCTCATTTGGTCAGAGTTCCTTTTTTCTGGAGGCAGAGTAACTGTAGAGACTCATAACTGGCCAAAATGATGAGAATAAGTGAGTGCCGAATGCTCAACCACAAAGGGAACATCTATATCACCCTCTCCAAGGCTCAGGAGACAGCAGAAGAGAGGGTAAAATAAGTCCAGAGGGTAGGGTGGAGCTAGTGTTCCATAGAACACTATCTTCCAGACATGACATGGCTACTGCAATCTTGAACTCACAGCAGCTGTGATTACCTGCATAAAACCTGCATAAGATGGGGTCTGTCAACATCCAGTCATGGAGAAGGGGAGGGACTCAAGAGGCCCCACCCCTTCGTGAGGATTTATAAGCAGTTAATGGTTCGGGAGAGGATTTTCTTCAGTGGTATAGCCACTAGTAAAGTGCCCAGGCTCCTATAAACATGATCAAAATGCATTATATACATGAATGAAAATAAAGCCCATTATTATGTATAATTAACATATGCCAGTAAGAAACTTTTTTTTTGGACTTTTTTGAGATAGGATCTCCCTGTAGCCCCAGATAACCTGGAACACACTATGTAGACCAGGCTAGCCTTGAACTCACAGGAATCTGCCTGCCTCTGCCTCCCGAGCGCTGGGATTAAAGGCCTATTATGCTGCCACACCCAGCAAAAAACACTTTTTAGAACTCATCTCCACTACCTACTCTATCCTCCCATTTTAAGTTTCTATTTCTGGACTATCTCTCCATCTCAAGCTCCAGAGAAAGCTTCTCTTGACCTCCAATTTAGAAATTCCACCTCTGAATTTCCACTTAGCTCTTAAAATTTTGTTTTCATGGCATATTCTTTTATTCTTATTTTATTTTTCATTTCAGAAAGGTAACCAACATGAGACAAAAACTAGTCTTGAAAATCTTCCTAGGAGTCTGGAGAGATGGCTCATTCAGTAAAGTGCCTGCTATACAAGCACAGGGACCCGAGAACCCACATAAAAAGATGGGCATGGCAGCTCATACCTGTAAACCCCAGCTTTGTGAGACAGAGACAGGCAGATCCCTGAAGTTCATCAGCAAGTCAGGCCCAGTCAAATTAATGAACTAGGTTCAGTGAGAGATCCTGACTCAAATAATGAATGAAAGAAAGGAGAGAGAGAGAGAGAGAGAGAGAGAGAGAGAGAGAGAGAGATAGGTAGATCGATCGATTGATCAGGGGGCTGGAAAGATGGCTTAGAGATAAAGAGCACTGGATGCTCCTGCAGAGGACCAAGGTTTGGTTCCCAGCACCCACGTGGTAGCTAACAGCTGTCTGTAACTCCATTTCCAGGGGATCCTCCACTTCCAACACCCTCTTCTAGCCTCTGTGAGCATTGCATGGCACTGGTACATTTACATACATGCAGGCAAAATACTCATAAAAATAATAAAAAAAGATGGCGTGATAAGACACTTGACATTAATCTCGGGCCTCCCCTGCCCCCATGGACATGTATGCACACTCCACACACAACATACACAACACAAATATTTTTAAAATCCTCCTCAGCATCCAACGTAATTGCATATAGAAAGCACAATGAGTATGAATAAAGTACTGGCTTCATGGATATGGTCAAATGTCTCCTCTTTCCTTTGTCTAGATGCCCAAGGTTTGGCAGATGGAACCTCCTTTTAGATATAGGTTAGTTTTTATTTGTTTATTGCAGTCCAGGATGGAAGCAAAGGCCTCATGGATTAAGCAGAAACTCTACCTCTAAACTACACTCCTAATCCTGACACAGTTTTAAAACATCTATTTAATTACCAGTATATTCACTTGAGCCTGAATATTCATTTAAGCTCTTTAAGACCTAAAATTATCAACTTAATCCAGTTCAATAAGTACATCAAATATCTACCAGGAAGATCATGGTGGACTCCTACATAGTATTTTTCTCAAGATTATTTCTATAGCTTCACTCTCCATCTTCTGCTACTTCCACTCTCCTGTGTAAACTATAGTAGAATTCTTCCAGTCTAATGAAGCAGAATTACGTTAAACATACTACTCAATACAATTTATTTCCATGAGTTATTTGAAGCTCATCTTTGCAGTGTTCTTGCTCTTACAAAATCTAATAAACTGTGACACTCTAAGTTTGCAGAATAACAATAGCAATAATAAACTAAGAACTCACAGGCATGTACAACTTCCAGCCTGAAGCCAGGCATGGGGGTGCACACCTTTAATTCCAGCACTTGGGAAGCAGAGGTAGACAGACCTCTGTGAGATCAAGACCAGTCTGGTCTATAAAATGAGTTCCTGGTCACCTGGGGCTACAAGAAGATCCTTTTTCAAAAATGAAAAATAGAAACAACAAAAATCCTGCAGTCTGTGGGGCACATGCACCCTAGGATAGCTATGAATATGGCCCAACACAAAATCACTAATTTACTTAAAACATTCTAAGATTTATTTGTGTGTGTGTGTGTGTGTGTGTACACGCACATGTGTATTTGTTGTGTGACTCAACTGCACACTTCTACAGCATGAACTTTGTAAATGACAAGGTCATGTTGCAATGTCAAAAGGCTGGACCCATAACAGTGAGTGAGGGCTACCCCATTACTAAGTACTTAGGCTAACTATTGTCCAAAGAACTTTACACATGTTAGCATAAGTATCCTAATTGTGATTACAAGATAAATACTGTTATTCTCATTTCACTGGTGAAACAAACAAAAAGGTTGGGCTTACAAAGGTTAACTTGTTGAGAATTTCCTCACAGCTGTTTAACAGAACTAAGACTTGAGCCCATGTCTAACTGAAGCCTCTGAACATATGACACTGAATCATGAAAAGGAATGCAGTCACAGAGATAGCCAACTATTTGAGAAAAGACTTAAGAAAACGAATTTTTTTAAAAGTCAACCAATATACCTATAAGGAATCTCACAGCAAAGCTAAAATTAAAAGGATAAACTCTCATGGTCATTATCTTTTGAAGTAAAAATAACACATGACAACAGAAAGTGGAATGCAGTACTGATTACCTAGTGTAGAAATATCACTTACTGACTGCAGGATCTTGGGTAAGTTGCTTAATACTACAGCACTTTAGCTGACAGGACTTACAAAAAGGGAGGAAACATGAAAATATCTGTCTTTAGGAAATGCCAAAATGCTTACTGACATCTATATTCTAAAGATATTTGCTTTTCAGAATATGAATATTTATAATTACAATATCCAATAAATTTCAGCTAAATCATTGCGGATCAATTTTGAAGTCATTTTCTAAAACTAGAAAATTGGTTCCTTAACATTCAAAACTGCTCTGCCAGAGAAAGTTAATTCTCACTGCGACCTTTGCTTCACCTGCTATCTCATGCTAAAGAAACTTAAAGACTGGTCCCTGGATTCATGGTTTATTTTTATTTATTTTTTTAATTTTATGTGTATGAATATATTGCCTGCATGTAGATAAGTGCACCCGTGTTGCACAATGCCCGCAGAGGACAAAAGAGGTCGTCAGATCCCCTGGAACTGGAATTAAGGACAGTTGTTAGCTGTCATGTGGGTGCTGGGATTCGAACCCGGGTCTTCTGCAAGAACAACCAGTGTTCTTAACCGCTGAGCCATCACTTCAGCCCCTGGATTCATGTTTTATACACCAATAACTAAATCTTAGCATAGCCTATTAATATTGAGATCAGGCTGTGCCCTGCCCTAAGTTACTGTATACCATGTAAAATAACTTTTCAGCCTGTGCCTTGCCCTAATAAACTTCATTTTACAAGTAGCAATTGACTCCATTTGAGGATAGAGGATGACTCTGTACCCTGACGGACACACAAAAAACACCATCTGTCCAGCACCACCCATGAGGCACAAACTGATAAGCAACTTATTCCTAAAAGTAGAAAGGGTGCCACACTATAAATTTATCAAAGTAAATTAAGATTGCAGGAGCACATGCATATATTAGAATCTTAGCAAGAAAACCAGGAACTTACCAGATATACCAGACTGAGAAGAAGGTGCAATTCCCTCACCTGGATTTCATAAAGAGGAAGACATCTAACTTTGCAATGGTGATGGCCCCACCAACCTGTCCTGTGACCATTTTCGGAGTGTGTCAAGTGATCAACTGGCAGAGAACTCTTGACTATCCCAGGGTTTCAGCTGCGCTCAGTCCTCACTGTTGACATGGCCTACTCAAATTGCCACCTGTGTATGCACCTGCTCATGTGTCTGTCCGTTCATCTGGACTTGGCGCTACCCTTCACCTCTCTGGTCTGTACTTTGCTTCAGCAGTCTGCTAGACTTTGAGGTTCTGTTCAGGTTTGACCTGCAGCCTGACTCTATGGTAGCAGTGATAAGCAGCAATATCTTCAGGAGACCTCTAGCCTTCTTATATCTTATTCCAAAGAGGCTATTTAAAAAAAAAAAAAAAGCTAAATGTTCTAAAATGCTTTGAACGCTCTACAGTTTTCTTTAACCCTTTTATAACCTATGTATGTACTGTGGTGGTTTGAATGAAAATGTCCCCCATAGGCTCCAAGTATTTGGACATTTTGTCCCCAGATGGTGGCACTGTTTTGGGAGGTTTTAGAAGGTGTGGCCATCCTGGAGGAAGCACGTCACTGGGGGTGGGTTTAGAGAGTTCTTAAGCCTTGCCATATCTCCAGTTGCTCTCTTGCTTCCTGTGCCTGTGTGATGATAAGAGAGCTTAGCTTCTGCTGCTCAAGCTCCAGCCACCTCCAGCCACCATGCCTCCCTGCCATGATGGACTGTAATTCCCCTGGAACCGTAAGCTCAAATAAATTCTTCCTTTTATAAGTTGTTTTGGTCAGTGTTTCTATCACAGCAACAGAAAAGTAACTAATGCATGTACATATAGAGATACACTTACCGTGTGATGTATAATGTGTGGTCTGAAAGTTAATATTAGTAATTAATATTGGAATAAGAGAACCTGTGTTTTTTTTGGTCAGCTATGAAGAAGTGGGACTACTGGACAAATTGCTACCAACAAAACCACTGCACACCTTTAGACTCAGGTCTCTGGAGGCAGACGATCTCTCTGAATTCAAAGGCAGCCTGGTTTACATAGTGAGTTCCAAGTCAGCCAGAGCTACAAGGTTGAGACCTTTTCTAAAAACCAAATAAACAAGCAAAACTAAGAAAACCAAAACCAAAACACTGTACACTGTGAATGTATTCAATTCAATAAATAAATTGACATGGTAAAAACATGTCTGCTTATGTTTCTGACATAGCATACCCATAATACTTACCTTTAAACGAGGGCCCATGTTCTGAGAACCAAGTTATTTGCTAAAGCAGATCGCTTTTGGCTCCTTTCACTTGTCTTCCAACTTCCACATGAAGAAAAAAAGCCAAAAAGTCACCAAAAAGGGTCTGTCCATCAGACCTTTACTGAGGGTATGTCATAGTAAGCCAAGAGTCAGAGTGCCCTGAAGTGGATGAATTCCAGGATGAAGAAATAGAGCCCAAGAATGTCTCATTCCTGGACTTCCCTAGTGTGGGATGCAATCAACTGCTGGAAGATGCATCTGTTCTGGAATCCCAGGATCCTACCCTAGAGAGAAAAAAAGTAAGTACAATGAGTTTTTGTTTCTGGAAGAGTCCCCCTGAAACAACAAAGAAGCTACAACAGGCAGTAAGTAGACTAAAAGTAACCAAGAGTTGGTCAATTCTGAACAAGCATCCACAACAGAAACCGAAACTACTCTAGCTCCACTAGGGTCCACTGACAGCCTCACTGCTTATAACTGCATCATTCCACAGAAGAAAGGTCCAGCACTTAAGAGTCCTTCAGCAGAAGCAAGCTAGGGTACAGATTTTTAGATTCGACATAACCTCATGCCTATTTTCAGCTTAATGGGGCTGGAACACGGCATGAGAACCATGTGAGGAGAAATGGGATGAAAGTACAGGTAGAGCTAGCTTATAGAGCCATTCATGCCATGAAATGAACTCAAAACAACATTCAGCTTGAAAGAAACACAAGAGCTTTAAAACCTAATCTATCAGCCTATACAATCTACTCCCTTTGTGTCCACGTAAACATTTCCAAGACATGATTAAACAAAGCTGATGTCAACTCTAAAATTTTTAAATCTGCCAGGGGTGGTAGTGCATGCCGATAATCCCAGCACTTGGGAGGCTAAGGCAAAAGAATCATGAGTTCAAGGCCAAAAAAAGGGAGGAGAGGGGCTGTAAAATCTGCTACTATAAGTAGGGGAGAGGGAACTCTGTGAACTTTCAAAATAAAGTCACCAAGTAAAGTCAGTTTATAACTCTCAAAGATACTCAGGGACCAAATATAGCAAAAAGGCAACACAAAGCACCTTAAAACAAAGAGACTAGGGGCTGGAGAGATGGCTCAGTGGTTAAGGGCACTGGTTGCTCTTGCAGAAGACTTGGGTTTGAGTCCCAGCACCACATGGCAGCTAACAACTGTCTATAACTCCAGTTTAGGGATCCAATGCTCTCTTCTGACCTCTGGCGGGCATTGCACGACACAGGCGCACTTACATATATGCAGGCAATACACTCATACACAAAAAATAAAAATAATAAAATATTTTTTAAAAACAGGGATAGAAAAATGGCTCAGTGGTTAAGAGCACTGACTACTCTTACAGAAGATCTGGGTTTGACTCCCAGCACCCACATGGCAGCTAACAACCATCTGTAACTCCAGTTCCAAGGGATCCAATGCCTTCTTCTGACCTCCAAGGGCACTGCATGACACGTGTGCACTTACACACATGCAAGCAATACACTCATACACAGAGAAAATTAAAATAAATTTAAAAATTAAAAAGAGACTACTAACAATTAAGTGGAAAGAAAATCTTCACAATGGCACAAACTACTGTCATTGCTTCATAACTCATAACACACAATTATCTTTAGACACAGACATAATAATAGTTATCCTTAGCTTACAGACTGGGACATAAAAAGTGTAAGTTACTGTCTCAAGTTATACACAAAAAGTAGTAGAGTTGAGTCAACCCCAGACAACCTAGACCTGGAATCCATGCTTTTAATGGCCACTCTGCTGTCTTTCTGCTAAGGAACACCAAGGAAGAAAACACAAAGTGCTAAATAAACCAGAACAGAAGGACTGAAGGCCAGCAGATCAAATAAGTTGGCAGGCTTTTACAATTAAAAATGAATAAGAATATGCATGTATTTGAACACATGGTGATAGACTTGCCAAGTACATGAGCCAAAACATGGGTCAACTAGCAATTGGAACCAGTTTAAAGGATCCACAAAAAAGGGAATAAATAGTTATGTAAACTATTAAAGATCCCTAAGATAGAATGTTAAATGAAGATTTTAAAATGATACTTTTAAAGAACAAAAACAATGAATTGGGAAATGTTCACAAATAAAATGTTAAATGAAAAAACAAGCACAAAATTGTTCATATAATACAAGCCCAATTTTAGAAACAACATTATACAAAAACTATAAGAAAAGGGCCTAGAGAAATGGCTCAGTAGTTAAAAGCACTTGCTGCTCTTGCAGAAGACCCAAGCTTGGTTCTCAGCACCCATGTGAGCAGTTCATAACCCCTGTAACTACAGCTCCAGAGGGCTTCAATGCCCTCTTCTGGTCTCAACACCCACACACATGTGCCATTAACACACAAAGACACACATGCACATACACATAAATAAAAATAATACAAAGGTTTTTCTTTTCTAAAGACAAAGAAAAAGCAAAAGTGTAAACAGTGACTATCTCTTGGAACATGAAATTACAAATAATTTTTATAGTCCACCTACACCTTTTTGTTTTTGCAGTTTTTGAGTGAGTCTCATGTACCTCAGACTGGCCTTAAACTGACCCTATGTAGCCAAGGGTGACCTTGAACTGACATGCCCCCCCCCCCCGACTTCCACCTCCCAAGTGCTGGGATTATAGGTTGTGTATCACTATGTCTGGCTTGTTTTCCAAATTCTTTTTTTTTAAGATTTTATTTATTTATTCATTTAATTATTTATTTATTGAGACAGGATCTCACCACGTAACTCTGGCTGGCCTGGAACTTGCTATGTAGACCGGGCTGGCTCAGACTCACAGAGATCCACCTGCCTCTGCCTCCCAAGTGCTGAGATTAAAGGCGGGCACTACCATGCTTGGTAAGATTTTATTTTTAAAAATTGTATGTATGTGTCTATTTGTAGGTATGTGCACATAGGTGCAGTGCCTGCCTGTGGAGGCCAAAGCAGAATCCCCTGGAACTGGAGTTACAGGTGGTTGTAAGCTGCCTGATATGGGTGGCTGGGAGCCAAACTTAGATCCTCTAGAAGAGCAGCATGCACTCTTAACTACTGAACCATCTCTCTGGCCCATTTGCTAAATTCTTAATAAAAAAGACATATAAAAATTTACTGGGATCGGGGAGAGAATAGGCAAATTATCATTTTGCTTTGAGATAGAGTCTTATGTAGCCCAGTCTGGCCTCAAACATACTATGTAGTCAAAGATGACTTTGAACTTCTGATCTTCCTGTCTCCACCTCCCCAGTGCTGGGATTATAAACACACACCACATTGCTGGGTTTAAATGATCTTTTTTCCAATAAAGAAATGGCATAAAGAAATTAAGGGGGCTAGAGAGATGGTTTGGAGGTTAAGAGCACTGGCTGCTCTTGCAGAAGACCCAGGTTCAGATCCTAGCACCCACTAGTAGTTAACAACCATCTACAACTCCAGTTCCAGGCGATCCAACACCCTCTTCTGGCCTCTGTGGACAATGCATGCAAACAGTACATTTACATACATGCAGGCAAAACACTCATATACATAAAAATTTTTTAAAAAGAAATTAAGGTAAAATATACTGAACTTTTATTTTTGTTTCTTATTATTTTAGTGGATCTCCAACTCTGTGATCAGCTACTTGATTATTAAATCAAGTAACTTTTAGTTCTAATATAAGCTGTACTGCCCCTACCATAATCTGTTTACCCCACTGTTTCAAGGCCTCTGGTGAGCTCAAGACTCAACTTAAGCACTAATATCCTTTTCTGGTCCAGCCCCCAGGCTTCTCTATAGACTCTACTCATGCTAGGCAGAATCAATCACTTCCTCCTTTGTGATACTCCTATGTCAAAGATAGCCCTATTACAACATTTATTAGTCTACATATAAGCATTTGTTTATATAACATTATTGTAGCAATAGATAGTAGCTCCCTGAGGATTCGGAGAGGGTATCTTAACCACCATTGCCTTCCCATAGTTAATATGAGGTTTGGCTCTAGAATCTCAGGTCTGTATTCTCCCAAGTGAGTCCTACACACTTTAATATTTCAGTACTGCCTAAACTCCAGTACAGTCAGCCTGAGGAGCCCAATATTCCCTATGTCTTAACAGGTTCAGGAGCAATCCTTATGCTATTGGTCTTAGAGACTGTGATTTCAGGAGCAAGAGATGAAAGCTGGAGTCCGTGAAATCATAGCTTGTAGACCAAATCTACCTGGTTTTTGCACTACAAACAGTTGAGTAGCTGCAGCAGAGACGTATATTTTTATTTTATGACCCATTTTGGACAAAGCTTAATACCTGGTATAGAAGTCTTAGTCTTTTTTGATACAGGATCTATCTATGTAGCCCTGGCTGAGCTTGAACTCACAAGCCTCCCAAATGCTGTGCTTACAACCATGTGTCACCATAACCAGCCCACAGGGCTTCTCTTAAAGCTATGAAGCTACACTTAAAGCTATGAAGCTACACTTTTATAAATGTGAATATATTTCTATAAACCAAAGAAAGCTTAATATTTTCTTCCCATTCTACTATCCCCTTCTACAAAAAAGAGCTAGAAAACTCATAAAAGTAGGCAAATATTTCCCATTTCAACTATTTTTGGGGCGTAGAAGGGTAAGTTCTCAATATGTAGTCAGAGCTATCCAGAAATTCACAGTCTTTCTGTCTCAGCCTCCCAACTGCTGGGATCACAAGTATATATTGCGGGGGCTGAAGAGATGGCTCAGTGGTTAAGAACACTGGCTGTTCTTGCTGAAGATCAGGGTACAAATCCCAGCACCCACATGGCAGCTAACAACTGTTCGTAACTCCAGTTCCAGGGGATCTGACCACCTTTTCTGTCCTCTGCAGGCACCGAACGACATGGGTTGCACTTACCTACATGCAGGCAATACACGCATACACATAAACAAGTAAAAATAATAAAAAAAATTAAAACTAATAAAATTTTAAAAAACCAGTATGTATTACCATGCCTGGCTATAATTTTAGCTCTTATCTAAAAACCTTCATGTCTATATTAATAGGGCAATCAGGAATTTTATTCAATCATTTTCCAAAGGGCTGGGGCAAGATCTTTTTATACAATGTACCTGAAGGATCAAATATATCATAGTTCTTAAAATTGTTATAATACATATTGATTCAGTCTCTGTCTTCAAACTGCTACTCTAAAAAGTCAAGATGCTAGGCATGGTGGTGCACGTCTTTAATCTCAGTACTTGGGAGACAGAAGCAGGCAGATCTCTGAGTTCAAGGCCAACCTGGTCTACATAGCAAATTCT